TGGGGGCAGGGAGAGAGGTGGCGGAAGGAGGTTTGGAGCGAAATGTGTCCGGGCGTAGGTGATGGACACGTGGTTCTATGTGGGATTAGTATTTGGTGTGCAAAGAGAGTGTTGCAACCGGATTTATCCAAGTTGAGATGGAGTTGCGTCTTCTTGAGGACAACAAGTACCTCCTCAAGATGCTTGTGGTGTTCCTCCATGGACTTGCTGAAAATCAGGATATCGTCCAGGTACACTACCACGAACCGGCCAATCTGTTCGCGGAGGACCTTGTCCATGAGGCTTTGGAACGTGGCTGGTGCGTTCGTAAGACCGAAGGGCATTACGGTAAACTCATAAAGCCCATCGCGCGTTTTGAACGCAGTCTTGTGCTGGTCCGCAGGATCGACTTCAATTTGGTGGTAGCCAGACTTGAGATCGATCTTGGAGAAGACCTTGCACCCGCCTGCAGCATCAAGCAAGTCATCTATACGAGGCAATGGGTAAGCATTCTTTCTTGTGATGCGGTTTAGACCACGATAGTCAATACACATGCGGAGTTTGCCTCCTTTCTTTGGCACAAACAACACAGGAGCACCAAATGCAGATTCACTTGGTTTGATCCACCCCTTGTCAATCATCTCATCGATCTGCCGCCGGAGTTCCTCCAACTCGTCAGGTCCCATACGGTACACGCAGCCCTTTGGAGGAACAGCACCCTCGGTCAACTCGATGGTGTGTCGAACCGGTCGCATGGGGACTCCAAGTGGCTCGTCCAAGACTTCCGGAAACCGATCGAGGAGGGCTTGAATGTCTGATGGGACAGGTGGGGGCGGGGAATCAGCAAAGGGATCACCAAAGTCCGGTCGCAAGTCGCGTATAGAGACGACCGAATCTGAAGTAGGATCATTTGGACTATTAGAGGGTAAAGAGGTAGAGGTGCTAGTAGTAGAAGTACTAGAAGTAGGATCATTAATCAAAGTAGTAGTGGTACTGGCCGCAAAAGTAGAAGGCACATGAGCAGGACGAACAAAGGCAACATACATTTGTTTTTCCTTCTTGTGCGCATTTGTTTTTCCTTCTTGTGCTTGCGCCACTTCTTGCAGAATTTCAATGCATTTAGAAAAGTCACTGGGGACTCGTGCTTCTCATCCAAGAGGACAAGAAGCTCGTTCCCCTGAGCATCTTTGACCATGAAGAGTGATTCCTTCCACTTGGTCCATTCGCATTGGGACTGCAGCCAGCCCAAGCCAAGGACATTGTCGAAAGGGCACTTGTCAAGGACAAAGAAGTTCAGTACATGGGTGACAGTCTTACCTTTGTCAAAGGTAATGCGCACACCTTTGACTGCATGTGTAGAAGAGACAACTTCTTTGTTGCCAACTTGGGTCTGGCAAGGGTTCTGCAAGGCCACTTGCTTCATCCCCAAGCCCACCTTGCGTATCCCATGTGGTGACATGAAATTAGCTGTAGCACCACAATCAACCAACACACGGAGATAGCGGCGGTTTATGAGAAGCTTAAAGAAGATTAACTTCATTGTCCCTTGGGCACGCTGCTGTTTCATTTCAGCCCAATGCTCCAAGTGGTAGTGGAAGTCAATCATCTCAGACTCCTCCCAAGGCTTGTCATACAATACATTACTTACTGCAGCCTTGTCTTCAGCAGATGGTTGGGCTTCAAGGGAGGGCTGCTGGTCTTCGACAGAACCAGCCTCCCTTGTTGTAGAGTTTGCTGAGTCTGACTCTACGCCCGATTTTGGTTTCCCAGCAGCCTATAGCAGTCCTGAACTTTATGGTTTTGCTTTTGGCAATGCAGGCAAACCCCCTTCTTGAGTCTGCCCCGCCAGTCATTCTCAGTGATCCGGAGGTCAACCCACGGTTTGGTAGATGCATCCTCCGGTTTAGGCGGGATCTTAACTCCTTTGGGGAGTTGGACATAACTCTTTCCGGCACTCCGATTCGGTCCCTTAGTGTTGGCAGTCTTTTTAAAGGCAGAAAATTTTTCTTCTTCGTTGTTTGCGTCGCACTCATGGGCTGAAGAACAAGCTGTATCGGAGTCCTGTTCTTGGTCGTCACCAAGAGTGGGGTTAACCGCATCGGCTTCTCCTTCGGCCTCCAGCAGGTCATGCACAGCAAAACGGTTGCTGCCCTTGTACTGTCTGCCGCCCATGGGCTTCTTGCTGCCTGCCGTGCTAACGAGGTCCATGGCCTCCAGACCGACTACGTCCTCCATTAAGGCGAGCCAGTCAGTGTATGCAATGTAGCCTGTGCCCAGGCGACTAGTGAAGTTAGTTGGAACCGCGCCCTTGACCACATCCAAGCAAGATTGCGGGGACAATTCCAGACCAGGAGTGACAAACAGCTTGCTTAGATAGGTCTGCAGGCTTTTCATGGAACCATTCCACTTGCTGTGCTTCACTTTATCCAGTTGAATTCTTGCTTTAGCAGCAACATGTGGATCTTGGTATTCTGAGGTAAGGAGTTCTTCGAGGGAGGCAACCGGGGTGGCCCTTAGCCATTTGGCCAATGCAGCCTTTGGAAACCCAGCCCGCGTTGCTTGGACTTCTAGGAAGCCCCGTACGACAGGCTCGACATTCATACCCATGATAACCGCCTGGGTCTCAGCTTGAGTCCCCAGGATCTCAAAGTAGGCCCTCATGGAGCCGATCCAGGACTCTATGTCTTCCTTGCCATCGTACTTGGACGGTATTTGAACCGCGTTCCGGTCCACATAGGGACTGGCGTGGCTGGGACCAGCAGCGGCTGGTTCCGTTCTTGGGGCTGCAGCAATTGCAGAAGTTCCAACCTCGTTGCTTGTTACAACAACAGTGGAATCTGCACCTGCTGCAGGTCCTGAAAGAGTTGCCATCACACTCGAAGAAGATGTAGAAGAAGACACAGTAAGAGGGGCAGAGGTAGTTTCGATTGCAGCTTCAGTTCCAGGAGGTAGAGGAAGAGGGTTGTCGCAGATCCGCCACTTCCTTTGTCAATTCATGGTACTTGAGGGTCATCTCAGTCAGATCATCCTGAAGTGTCTGCAGTTTTGCAAAGACTTCAGCGATCTGAGTGGTATGGTCCTCAAGATTCCTGACTCGAACAAAGGCTGTAAGTATGGACTGCAATTGTTCCCCGCGCTGCTCTTCAGTCAGTGAGGGAACAATCTCTAGAAGGGCTACTTGCCTTCTCAGCAAGGCCTCCTTCCTCTCCTTCTCTGACTCCTGTTCCCGTTTTATAGCACCATCCAAGAGTGCTTGCAGATGTGGTTTCTCAGCATCACCGGCTGCATCTAACAAGGCCCGTCATTGCGTTGAAGTTAGCTGGGCCATCTTTGGACTGTCAGTGTGGGCAGGTGGATCAGAGAGTCGCCAGACCGCAAAATAATCAATCAGACTCTCAAGAGGTTCACTCCCCCTCGCGCTTAGACGAACACTCCTTTTCCCTGTCCTTGCTCACCTCAGACTATCACTTTCCCTCTCTCCCTGTTCTCTCTCCCTCCTCTCCCTTTCTTCTTTCAAATTGCGTGTCTCCACGGGCATCGGAAATGAACTCAGAAAACAGATAAAGCTCAGAGAAGAGAAGGTAGAACTCCTAGCCGGAGCGGCATTTCATTTGGAAGTAGAGAAAAGCAAAAGAAACAGTTCAACTTCAAAGAGAGGTCTGATCCAGCGACCCAGTCTGATCAGACTGCATACGAGGTCCTCTCGAGTCCAGTCTGACCAGCTCCGTGTCTACACAACAAATCAGACAACGAGCAACTAAATGCAACAATGGAGAATTGAGTGGTGTACAGGGTGCGAGTCAAGCCACGGATGCCGCAATTAGAATACAAGTGAAACGTCAAAGCCAAGATCCCCTCGGCAGTGGGTGTCCTAATCCAAGAAGAATGAACTCATATCCCAGCCAAGAAGACAAGAGGTCAATGCCTAACCGATTTGGGTCCAGAGGCTCTCCTTGTTTGGGGCCGGTCCTGCTGAGTCCTAAGGGTTCCGCTTGGTCCCAAGGGTCCCACGTAGGTCTCAACCAGGTCCGAACCAAGAGGAGTACCACCTGAACTTAGTTTAGTCTCAACCGCACTGAAAAAACGAAATTTCAACTTCTGGCAGAACCTACAGACTACAACCGTTCAGTGATGAAAAGACAAAGCACTGTAGAAAGACTCGGCATGTATAAC